GTCTGGTTAGCAGGCAAGTGTCTTAGCCACTATGGTACCAGAGCTTCCAAAGGAGACACTGGCTACCTGGTGGAGCGGCTGGTGGGTTTGAACCGCCAGCGTTGGGTGTGGCAGGTGACTGCCTGAGGCCTGAGGTCATCCCCTCGGGCCTTCAACATTCTCTAGGGATATGGAAAAACCAATCACTAACTTTATATGGAAAGGAAAGAGACCTTACCTCAGATAAGCAAAGCACTATTGAAGAAGAAAAACAAAATAGGAGGTCTCACACTGCCGGATCTCAAAACCTACTATACAGCCACAGTGGTCCAAACTGCCTGGTATTGGTTTAATGACAAATACATAGACCAATGGAATAGAATTCAGAACCCAGAAATAGATCCATCGACCTATAGTCATCTAATCCTTGACAAAGGCCTAAAATCCATTAAATGGGGAAGAGAATGTTTGTTTAATAAATGGTGCTGGCAAAACTGGAGATCCATCGGAAGAAAAATGAAACAAGATCTGTACCTCACACCATGCACAAAAACAAACTCCAGATGTATCAAAGACTTAAATGTAAAACCTAAAACTATAGAGTTCCTCAAGGAAAATCTAGGGGCAAATTTAAGGGCCCTAATATATGGCATAAATAGACTATCAAGCATAACCAAAAATGCACAAACAGGAGAAGAGAAACTAGATGAATGGGACCTTCTAAAAATTAAATTTTTATGTACCTCCAAAGACTTCTCCAAAAGAGTCAAAAGAGAACCTACTGATTGGGAAACAATATTTGGCAATGACATATCTGACAAGGGACTATCTCTAGAATTTGTAGTAAACACCAACACCTCAATAACAAAAACACAAATAACTCAATTAAAAAATGGGCAGAAGACATGAATAGACAGTTCACCAAGAAGGATATTCAGGCTATCAACAAACATATGAAGAAATGCTCACGATCATTAGCCATTAGAGAGAAGCAAATCAAAACAACAATGAGATACCATGTTGCTCCAGCACTAGTA